CGTGGTTCGGCCCTCGCGGGCGCAGGTCTATCAGATCGACGGGAGAGAGGCCGTGTCTCTGCGGCCTGAAAATACAAATAGTCAGATTAGTCAGATTGTTTTGCCATCTCAGACGCTGTGCACTCACACTTTTTCTCATCCAATACCTTCTGCAGTTGCGTTGCCAGCCAGCTGGGCCGAGAGACGCCCCGACACTTCCCCTCAACATCATCATGCTCGTTCCCGTTGTCAGGGCTGCGAAAGTCAAAAGAAGCCCCAGGAGGACCCGCTCAGCACCTGTAACGTTCAGGGAGGTGCATGCGAAGGCCCTGGTGATCTACATGTTCTACCCGCGGGACCTCAAGAGGACCCCGATGGAGCTCGTCAGCGACTGGGTGATCGTCTTGGGGACGCTCGTCGTCTTGGGGCTGGGCCTCCTGAACTTCCTCGGGCTGGCCGTGGTCGCCAGGCGTTCTTGGAGATATTTGCTGGCACTGCTAACCTCACTGGAGCCCTGCATGAAAGAGGCCTTCGAGTTCTGCCCCCGGTGGACATCAAGATGGGCCCCCATTGTGACCTCACACGTCCGAAAGTTCAGCGTCTGGTGCTACATTGGCCCAAAAGTGGCGAGGTTTGGTGGATTCACCTCGGCCTCCCCTGTACGCGTTGGGTGCCCGTGGGAGGCAATCGCGATCCCTTGCCTGTGGATCGCGTCCTGGTCTCGTTCACCGTCCGCGTCCTACGGCTGTGCAGGCGGCTTGGGATCTTCGCGACCTTTGAGAACCCGCCCGCGAGCCGCGTCTGGCACTGGCCTGCGCTCGAGCGGGAGCTCCGGCGCTTCGAGTGCCCCGAGGTGCTGTTCGACTCGTGCAGGTTCGGGGCTCCGTTCAAGAAGCCGGGCGCGATCGCGGGCAGCTTGCCAGGCTTGGAGGTTTTGGGGCTTCGCTGCTGCTGTGCCGGTCGGCATCGCGTTGAGCTTCAGGGAAAGGTCCGACATCCTACTCGAGGCTGGGTGTGGCGGACGACCCTCGCGAGCGCCTACCTGCCGAGCTGGTGCCGGTTGCTGGTGTCCCCGGTTGGCCTCCATGCGCCGGGCGGCGCCTTCGGCCGAGCCACGGCGACAGAGCTCCAGGGCAGGGCTCACGCGCTGGCGAGCGCGGCAGGCTGCCGAGAGCCCCGAGCCGTCTCGGCGCCGATCTGCCCACAGCGCTGTCGGCTCCCCTGGCGGCCGGGGCGGGCCTCCGCGCTCGACCCGAAGCCGCGGCAGCGCTGATGCAGCTTCTGCGCCCTCGCCAGCTCGCCCGTCGACCTGGACGCCGAGAGCATCGAACAAGGCAGCGGCCGCAGCTTCTCCGGGCAGGGCAGCCGCTGGGCGCGCCAGGGAGTCCGACGGGCGCTTGGCGCCAGTGCCGAGGCCGCTGGCCAAGGCGCAGAGGCGGCGGCGCGCTGACGCCGCCGCTCGCGGCGACGCCGCGGCCGCCGATCGCGAGGCTGTCCTCGGAGACTACCTTCGGCTGGCCAGCTTGCGTCCGGCGACGCTCGCCAGCTATCGCAAGGCAGTTGAGGCCCTCGAGGTGTTTGCGCGGGAGCGTGGTCTCCCTTTGTCTTCGCCGCCTGAGGCCGACTCGGCCTTGAATCTCTACTTCGAGGAACTGTTCTTTGCAGGCGAACCGCAGTACGTTGGCCGCCTGGCCCTGCATGGTCTGCGCAAGCAGCGAGGTTGGTCTGCTGCGCGGCCGAACTTTCAGAAGGCAAAGGATGCCCTGGCTGGTTGGTCAACCAAGATCCCGCCGTGCTTGCGTGATCCGCCCCCATTTGAGGCCGTTCAGCTGGTCTGCTCTGTCCATGACAACGGCACGGGCCTTGACCTTCTGGTCGCGCTTGGCGCCTTGGCCCAGTTTGACATGTATTTTCGGCCCAGCGAGCTCCTCTCGATAAAGCCCGAACATGTCTTTGGCTCTCGATGCTCAGGACCCTCCGCCGATATCACTGTCGTTGTTGCTCCGTTGAACGAAGACAAGCCAGCAAAGAATCGCGACTTCGATTGCACAGTGAAGGCAGGCACCGACCTGCCCCTCCGTCGCCTGGTGCCCGAGATTCTGTCTCGACTCCGTGCCCGGGCGCGGCGGCAAGGCCTCCCTACTCTTTTCGCCCCTCTCTCTCTCGTGCAGTACGAATAAGCTTTGAAGGCCGCGGCTGTCACCGCGGGAGTGGTAGACCTTCTGTCTGTGCCCCATCAGCTTCGCCATGGTGGGCCTTCGCACGACGCCCTGCACGATGTTAGGCCCATCTCGCGTATTCAGGCTAGAGGGCGCTGGCGCGCCCGTGAAAGTGTCAGGATCTATGAAAAGCACGGCAGCGCGCTTCGGCAGCGTTCGAAACTCTCGGCCTCGCTGCTTGCCAACGCTCAGAAGTTCTCGGAGGCGCGAGCTCGAGACATGCTTCGTCGGGTATGTGCCTGACCGCGTTGCTTGCTATTGGCGCCGATTTCGTCCATCTGGCCTCGGCTGGCGCTCGACGCCACTAGGTTGTTCTTCTATTTCCCACCCGCCCTCCCTAGGGCATTTTGTACGGGGATGGGACTGGACACTTGCTGTTGTGGCTCTCTGGAGGTGCGATTTTGAATTGCACGCTGGCCTTGCGGCCATTTCTTCTTGAGAATCATCCGTGGATGTCACCACGGCGCTTGCCTTCTTGTTGCCGTCTGAAAAAGAACGAAATATGGAATCCAGAGTGCTGTCGCATGTTTCCGCGGCCCCGTAGGGGGAGGCCCTGCCGTAAGACAGGAATGGTTTGTCTCTGACTGGTTTTCCTGTGATTGAAGGGCCTCGACAGTTTCTGAGCGCACGACCGCTCCGCCTGCGTTCTCTGTCTCGCCGAAGCCGTTTTGGCTCAAAGTTCCCACCCGCCTCCCCCACACACCTGGACACTTGGTGTTGTGGCTCTTTGGAGGTGCGATTTTGAATTGCACGCTGGCCTTGCGGCCATTTCTTCTTGAGAATCATCCGTGGATGTCACCACGGCGCTTGCCTTCTTGTTGCCGTCTGAAAAAAGAGCGAAAGATGGAATCCAGAGTGCTGTCGCATGTTTCCGCGACCCCGTAGGGGGATGTCCTGCCGTAAGACCGGAAGAAACGTTGTTTTCACATGGTTTTTGCAGGTTTTTCTGGTTTCTGGCTTTTTCTGACCAAGAGCGGTCCAACACGGCCCAAGAGGCTCCAAAGATCGTCCCAAGACGGCGCCAGAGGCTCCCGAAGGAGCCCGAAAACACTCCAAGAGGGCCCCAAGACAGCCCCAGAGGAGCCCCAAACGGTCCAAAAGGGCTCCAAGACGGCCCAAGAGGGCTCCAACACAGCCCCAGGAGAGCCCCGAGAGGGCCCAAAGAGGTTATCAAGAGGGGTCCAAAAGGCCCCCGAGAGAGCCCCAAGACGGCCAATGGCCTCCAAGACGCCCCACGACGGCCCAAAAGGGCCCCAATACGACCCAAATGTGCCCCAAAAGTTCTCCCCAAGGGCTCCCCAAGGGCCCCCACGAAGACCCCGACGAGGCCTAAGAGACAATCAAGAACACCATGGCTCCCATCAGCGAGCGGTGACGTAACAAGCTCTTGACACCAAGGCTCCCCAGAACGCTGTTACGTAAAGAGCTCGTCACACCAATACTTCCAAGAGCAAACGGCAATGTACAAGTCTCTGAACACCAGGGCTCCCAACGGAGAGCGGCGACGTAACAAGCTCTTCACACGAAGGCTCCCAAGCAGGTGACGTAAAATGCTCGTCACGCCAAGGCTCCCAAGAGCGAGCGGCAACGTAACCATCTCTGAACACCAGGGCTCCCAACAGAGAGTGGTGACGTAACAAGCTCTTCCCACCAACAAGGCTCCCAAGAGCGAGCGGCAACGTGACAAACTCGTGCACACCAAGGCTCCCAAGAGCGAACGGTGACGTAAACAACTGGGCCTCCTGAGGGCCTCTTGGAGCGGAAGACTCGGACTTTTGGTTATCGGGGTTGTCTTGGGACCCTCTTGGGCAGTCCCGGGTGGCTGTGGGGCCGTATTGGAGCCCTCTTGGACCGCCTTGGGGAACTCTTGGGGCCCCCTTGTTCCGTCTTGGGGCCCTCATATGCCCGAAGAAGTCACCACCCACCAAACCACCCCAACCCAACCCGAAGGCTCAGATTTACCCTCGATTTCCAGTAGGGGTGTGTCGGGAAACATCGAAAAAACACATGTGGAACCCTTACCCCCCCCAACCCGAAATTCGGGTCTTCGGGTTGGGTTGGGGTGGTCTGGTAGGTGGTCAAGAAGTCACGCGGGGAGATGCTGGGGAACCCAGGGGGCACGCACCAAACCCCGAGAGACTCTGCATTTTGGGGTCCTGGCCCTTTCTCAGGATCGAGGACTGAAGCTCAATGGGGTTCTGCAAAAGACCTGAGGGCACGTCCACTCCGTGCCCAGATGCACGGCGGAGGAGGGACGAGAGGAGGAGGAGGACGAGGAGGGGGAGGAGGGGGAGGATGATGATGATGGACGACAATGTGAGGACGATGATGGAGGCCGATGAGGGGGAGGACCACAATGGGAGGACGATGATGAAAGGACGAGGGGGGGAGAGGGAGGACGAGGAGGAAGAGGAGGAGGAGGACGAGGTGGAGGAGGAGGATGACGATGACGATGAGGACGAGGACGAGGACGAGGAAGACGAGGAGGAGGAGGAGGAGGAGGAGGAGGAGAGCGCCATCGACAGGGAAGGTGGGGGCCACGAGGTCCGCCGGCTCGACGACGCCCGCATGCTTGAGCCGTCTTGGGGGATTTTTCTGGGATTGAGCTCCTGGAGCTCCCTTTCGGGTGGCCGGCGGGACGGGCCGAAGCGCCAGGGGGAGTTCCTCTGGACAAAGAACCAAAACCAAAAGTGGATGGTCCGAAGCAATTTTGGCTCAAGGTTCCGAGGGGCCGTCGCCGGCCTCCCAGGGCTCCGCTCGGGCGTCTCTCGTTCTTTTGAGCTGTGCACATCTGCAGACGGCATGATGCGCCTGCGCACGTCTCACAGCGTCGGCGCGCTGCTCCTGCTGCTGGCAGCGCGCGGCGCCCCGAGCGCCGGGTCGCGGTCGCCGGCGAGCGGGACGCTGGCCCGCCCGAGGCTGGAGGGCTCGGCGAGCGGTCGCCCTCGCGAGCCGCAGGCCGAGTTCGGGAGGCGCCAGGCTACCAGCGGCGCGCAGTTGCTCAAGCTTGTGGCGAGTGATGGGGTCGCAGACGACTATTTCGGAGTTGTGGTGGCCGTGAGCTCCGACGGGGCCCGCGTGGTGGTGGGGGCCCATGCTGACGACGCCTATTCTGGCTCCGTGCACGTGTTCGACGGTACCTCGGGCGAGAGGCTGCTCAAGCTTGTGGCGAGTGATGGGGCCGGATGGGACTATTTCGGATGGGCGGTGGCCGTGAGCTCCGACGGGGCCCGCGTGGTGGTGGGGGCCTATTATGACGACGACCAGGGCGACAATTCTGGCTCCGTGCACGTGTTCGACGGTACCACCGGCGAGAGGCTGCTCAAGCTTGTGGCGAGTGATGGGGCCGCAGACGACAATTTCGGATTCGCGGTGGCCGTGAGCTCCGACGGGGCCCGCGTGGTGGTGGGGCCAGTGATGACGACGACGATTCTGGCTCCGTGCACGTGTTCGACGGTACCTCGGGCGAGAGGCTGCTCAAGCTTGTGGCGAGTGATGGGGCCGCAGACGACTATTTCGGAATCGCGGTGGCCGTGAGCTCCGACGGGGCCCGCGTGGTGGTGGGGGCTTCTGACGACGACGACCAGGGCGACAATTCTGGCTCCGTGCACGTGTTCGACGGTACCTCGGGCGAGAGGCTGCTCAAGCTTGTGGCGAGTGATGGGGCCGCAGACGACTATTTCGGAATCGCGGTGGCCGTGAGCTCCGACGGGGCCCGCGTGGTGGTGGGGGCTTCTGACGACGACGACCAGGGCGACAATTCTGGCTCCGTGTACGTGTTCGACGGCACCATCGTCACCACCAGGACGGCCACGAGTTCCGCGGCGTCAAGCACTATTACCACCATCAAGACAACCACCGAGACAACAACTGAGACGACCACCGTGACGACCACCAAGACGGCCACGACGACCATTGATACGGGCACGAGTTCGGCCACATCAAACACCACAGCCACCACCGAGCCATGGGAAGTAATTGCAGTCTTGATCTTGGCTGGTATCTGGATCTTGTGCTTGGGCTGCGCTGTCGCGCTGGGCTGCCTGGTGAGGCGCGGGCCGTGGCAGGGGCCCAACACCCTAGCGCGGCATTCACAAAGCCAGGCACCCCTCTGATGAATCAATCGGGGGCGGCGGAAAACGCCTATGTGGCCGAGAGTTGGGCCAGAGCTCGGCCAAGCTATCGGGCCAGTTCTTCCCCGAGTCGGTTTTTTAAAACTTCGGGGAACGCGTGGGGGGGCAAGACGTGGAGGAGGGAGAGGATCAGGAAAAAAGGAGGAGGAGGAGGAGGAGGCCTCTTAGTAAATATGCTCCTCTCCGCCTCATACTGAATTAGAACTTAACTTAGTTTGCATGCAATGAACTGTCCGCGTGAACTGATGCTGTGAGACCCAGGAAGGATGTGGTGCTTTAGGCACCACATCCTTCCCGAGTCTCCTCAGACGTGTCCTGTATCTTACTGGAAGCTCAGAGTCCTAAGCTCAAGCTCGAACAAGTTGCCCGAAGCTGAAGCAACACTCTGAACGTGTCAAAGGCCGGGTCTGCAGCCAAGGGTAATGCTGGCACAAGGTTTGAGAACATCCACAGTCGTCGAGGGTCATCCTTAGGTTCTTCGTGTTGGGGCTCGCTCGGGGTAGCTTCATGCGGCGCTCGCCCTTCGGCGAAGGAGCTGATGCCCGGCAGGTATGATCTACAGTGCTGCTGTTGCCGCTCAATCGCGCGTACATCTTTACGGGGGCCCACTCATCGTGCCCACTGCAGACATGTCGACTCAGGGGCATTCGTTCTCGCTTCGATCTCACCTGCGCACCCTGGCGATCGGATCAAGGGGAACAGAGCGCTTCGAGTGCAGCAATCCATGCGTATAGGCAAACGCATGAACATACCATAGCTGTCGTTGCCTACCACTATCTTGCATAGCCCAGGACATGCATGTGCAATTGAACACCGCGGAGGTCTTCGTCTTTATCTCTCCAGCTACCTGTTGTGTCTCCCCGCCCCTGGTGAGAGACGGAACAGGGGAAGGAGGGGAGGGGCCTTCCGCTCCGTGCACGTCTCAGCCACCGCACCCCGCGAGGCACGTGGTGGAGACCGAGGGCGGCGAGAAGCTGCGGGACAGCGGCGACTGGCACGCGTGGGCCTCGGCCATGGGCTCGCAGGTGCGAGCAGGACGCCGGGGCCGGGGGGCCCGCGGGGCGGGCCCCAGAGCGGCGCTGCGCGCGACTGGCCCGAGGGTGGCCTGGAGGGCCGCCTCGCCCTCCGTCCACGGACTCGCCTGGGCTTCTCCCGAGGCCGGGCCGTCTGGACGAGACCTGGTCGGGAAGATCTCCTGGTTTCTTGGTGCGCCTGTGCACGATTCAGCGGGCGAGGAGCGGTATAAGATAACCTTCTTCGCCGTCGGGGACACCGGCCCCTGGGCGGCTGGAAAGTTTCTACCCCTACGGTGCCACCGTAGGGGTATAAACTTTCCAGCCGCCCTGGGGCAGGTCTCCCCGACGGCGAAACAGTTTATTGTATACCGTTCTTCGCCCGCTAAACGATGCTGCCCACGGCACCGCTCCGACCCGGGCCGTGGGCTCGTGTGTTGCCCAGGAGGAGGAGGACGAGGAGGAGGAGGAGGAGGACGAGGAGGAGGAGGAGGACGAGGAGGAGGACGAGGAGGAGGAGGAGGAGGAGGAGGAGGAGAAGAAAAGGAGGAGGAGGACGAGGAGGAGGAGGAGGAGGAGGGAGGAAGAAAAGGAGGAGGAGGACGAGGAGGAGGAGGAGGAGGAGGAGGAGGAGGACGAGACACACGGCACCGCTCCGACCCGGGCCGCGTGCTGCCCATGGGGCTCGCGGCGGCCTGTCCGCGCCGGCGGGCCGCCCCTCCGTCACGGCCCGCCCGCCCTGCCACAACAGGCCCCGCCCGTCCCGGCCGCTGCGGCGGCCGCCCCCCCTCCTCCTCCTCCTCCTCCTCCTTCCCAGTTCTTGTTTCTACTTGCGCCACCTCTTCCTCCTCCTCCTCCTCCTCCTCATCCTCCTCATCCTCATCCTCCTCCTCCTCTTCCTCCTCCTCCTTGAGGGTCCTTCCGCCCTACTGTTTGGGACCGGCCTGGTCCGTCCACCCATCCGCCTTCCTTCTGTCTAGTCCTCGTAGAGGGGGTCGGAGTGGATGGGGTCGGAGGATCGCGCCGCATCGCCGACGCATCGCCGATGCGGCTCGATGCTGAGCCCGTCTTTCTTCACACCGACGTCGTCGACGCATCGCCGATGTCGCCGATGTCGCCGATGCATCGCCGATGCATCGGCGATGTATCGCCGATGTATCGGCGATTCGGCGCGATCGTCCGACCCCATCTACTCCGAGACGGGCGGCGCGTACCGAGAACTACGATAGAGTCATGGTGATTGTAGTGGCGACGGTGGCGATGAGCAGTTGCCACCTGAACAACCGTAGCCGCCCATTTCACGGAACAGTTCTTCCCACAGTGCTGTATGATCTGTGGGGCATGGACGATGACACAGGAGATGGAAAATAGGATTCGAAGGACGCAGCGACAAATGCTCGGGATGGTAGTCAAGACACCTCGGCGAAGGGTGGCTGGCAACCACGGCGCCGGCGGCAACAACGCCAGCGACAGAAATGAAAAGGACTCCAACGGTTCCAGTACCGACAGCGGGGGAGATGTAGACACTGCGCCGCCATCCTGCCAGCAACAGGCGACCTCGAGGACGCCAACCCACTCGAACCCTGGGCAGAGTAGATCAGGCGAGCAACACTGCGTGCAGAAGCTGCCACTTCAAATCTTGTCATTTCTGATTGGGCCACAAGCATATGGGAATAGGTACAAAGCCATGGGCGCGATCGGCTTTGCTATGGCGGGGAACGATCTGCACGTGCAGAAACATCGACGAGCTGACCGCCCCTAAACAAGGCGGTAGGGCGATCTGACTTCGATACTCGGCAGTGCGCCCCCGACGCGCCACGCGCAGTGGCAGAGTCATTGCACATGGCAGCCGCAGATGCTTGGGACAATTTCAAACCAGGGGACGCCACACAATGATCTAGGCCTCCTAGATGGGGTCGCAGTAGATGGGGTCGGAGGATCGCGCCGCATCGCCGATGCATCGCCGATGTGGCTCGATGTGCAGCCCGATTTGCTTCACGCCGACGTCGCCGATGCATCGCCGACGTCGGCGATGCATTGCCGGTGCACCGCCGATGCATCTCCGATGTATTGGCGATGCGGCCCGATCCTCCGACCCCGTCTACTCCGACCCCGTCTACTCCGACCCCATGTAGGAGTCCTCGAAATGAGCGAGTGAGCCAACGCGTCGTAATTCAGTTGTTTATGTTCCACAGGCGAATACTTATATTGTTGTTCACATGGTTGCAGTACAGGGCCCGTGCTTTGTCTCCCTCTTCCTGCTCTCCCTCCCTCTCTCTTTCAACTCTTGTTCGCTTTTGCTTCGGTTTCACCGCCGTTCGTGGTCAGTCAGAGCGGCGCCCTGGCTCCCACCTGCAGTACCCCTGCGCCACTTCGGCTGCTGGCTGATGTCCGATGCCCGCTGTCCGATGGTGGTGATGGTGGTGATGGCGGTGAATTTAATGACGAGTATGGCGGAAGTCATGGTGCGTGGTGGTGATGTGAATGGCAGCGATGATGGTAAGTACGATGTTAAGGACGATTGTGCCCTTCTCCTCTTCCTCAGGTTCACCAAGTTGCTGCTGTTCCTCCTTCTCCCAACGTTCCTCCTCCTCCTCCTCCTCCTCCTCCTCCTCGTCTTCCGCTTGTCCTTCCGCAAAAGTGATGCTTTGAAGGGTTGGGACTGCAGCGGAGTGCGAGCGCCTGTGGGGTGTGGTAGGGTGGTTTCGGGGGGTGGGGAGCGCGTGGAAAGAGATTGATTGCAAGGAGGGTGGGCGGTGATCGAGAATTTGGGGCGGGTTCCTGCTGAAGTTGCAGAGGAGTGTTTCTCAGCCAAGTGCTGGTGGACGCTGCGCTTTCCGTCTGTGCTGTGCTGTCGCGTTTTTTGCTCCCCCAGGGTTGGACAACTTGCTCGCCCTGCACATGTGCGACAGGGGCGACGATTGACCATGATCTGCCATGGCGGCGACTGTCCGACTAGCTAGCGTGATGTGTCCGTTCGCCGCAATATGTGAGATGTATGCAGAAGCATTGATAAGGGAGGAAGGGGATGAGTGTAGACTTGACACGGGCAAGGGGAATACTATTGTGTTAGTCGTAATTGGAATGTTAGGTGGGAACAAGGAGGAGGAACAGGGAGGGAGATTCGTCTGTTCGTATGCCAGTTGTGAGGTTTCAAGCAATTGGTAATATTGATCGAAGACGCCTAGGGCGAATCACCGCCGCCCCCTGCCTTATTGGAAGCGCCTATGTGGCCGAACGTTGAGGCCAGACCTGCCAAGCTATCGGACCACGTGTTCCCCGAATCGGTTTGGAAAGCCTTCGGGGAACACGTAGGCATCTTGAAGGTCATCCTGGCCGCCTGGAGGCCATTTCGACTCTTTCGGGCCTTCTTGGAGGACGTCTTGGAGGGCTCTTGGGCCGTCTTGGAGGCCATCTTGAGCGTGTTGGAGGCCTCTTGGGCCGTCTTGGGGGCCTCTTGGGGCCATACTGGAGACCTCTTGGGCGATCTTTGGGGGCTCTTGGGCCCTCTCGGGCCGTCGGAAGGCCGAACAAACCGCAAATGACACAATCCTTCAACATTCCATGGGAAATCAATTATCTGTTCGGCCCTTTGGAGGCCCTCTTGGAGGCCTCTTGGGCCGTCTTGGGCCATCTTAGGGCCATCTTCGGCCGTCTTGCTGGGCTCCTGGCCCGTCCGACGCCGTCGGACGCCGTTTGGGAACCCCTCTGGGCCGACTTGGAACCCTCTTGGAATGCTCCAGGGCCGTCTTGGAGGCCATCTTGGGCGTCTCAAAGGCCTCCTGGGCCGTCTTGGGGGCCTCTTGGGGCCGTCTTGGGGGCCTCTGGGGCCGTTCTGGGGCCATCTTGGAGGCATCTTGGGCGCTGTGGGGGCGATCTTTGGGGGCTCTTGGGCCGTCTCGGGCCGTCGGAAGGCCGAAACGAAGCAACTGTCAAGGTCCTGCAACAACCTAAGGAGAAAACATTGTTTTTGGCCTTCCCTGGCCTTCCTGTCTGCCCTCTTGGAGGCTTGGGCCGTCTTGGGCCAGCTTCGAGCCAACCTGGGCGTCTTGGAGGCCTCTTGGGTCGTCTTTGTGCACTCTTGGGGCCGTCTTGGGGGCCTCTTGGGCAGTCCTGAGGCCATCTTGGAGGCCTCTTGGGCGCTGTGGGGGCGATCTTGGGGGCCTCTTGGGCCGTCTTGGGTCGTCGGAAAGTTGAGAATGAGCTAATACGAAAAACCTTGTAAAACCTATGGAAAATCAATAATTTTAGCCTCTTCGGGTCCTCCTGGAGGACTTCTCGGAGGCCTCTTGGGCCGTCTTGGAGGCCTCTTGGGCGCTGTGGGGGCGATCTTGGGGGCCTCTTGGGCCGTCTTGGGTCGTTGGAAAGCCGAAAATGAGCTAATACGAAAAACCTTGTAAAACCTCCGGGAAATCAATAATTTTAGCCTCTTCGGGTCCTCCTGGAGGACCTCTCGGAGGCCTCTTGGGCCGTCTTGGAGGCCTCTTGGGCATCTCTCGGGCCGTCTTAGGCCGTCTTGGAGGTTTCTTGGGCGGACTTGAAGGCATCTCTTCCTCTCCTTGGTCGTATTGGAGGCCATCGTAGGCGAACTGGGAGGCCAACTTGGGCCAATGTGGCCATCTTGGAGGCCATCTTGGGCCATCTTGAGCGACAACATTGGGAATTGAGCTCCTTGAGAGTCTTTCCGGGTGGCCGGCGGGACGCGCCGAAGCTCCAGGGGGGGTTCTTTGGTAAAAAGAATCAAATCCCAAACCGATAGGATCCAGCACGCCAGGCACCTCTGTGATAAATCACAAGGGGGGCGGCGGATCGAAGACGCCTACGGCGAATCACCGCCGCCCCCGTGTTGGCCAAACGTTGTGGCCAGAGGCCTGCCAACGGTGATCATCAGGTGGCCGAACGTTGTGGCCAGAGGCCTGCCAAGCTATCGAACCATGTTTTCTCCGAATCGGTTTGGGAAAGCGTTCGGGGAACACTGTGGGGGAGGCTGGGCGGACTTGGGACTTTCTTGGGGTGCTCCAGGGCCGTCTTGGAGGCCATCTTGAGCGTCTTGGAGGCCTCTTGGGCCGTCTTGGGGGCCTCTTGGGGCCGTCTTGGAGGCCTCTTGGGCCGTTCTGGGGCCATACTGGAGACCTGATCTTTGGGGGCTCTTGGGCCGTCTCGGGCCGTCGGAAGGCAGAAAAAAACACATGCCACAATCCTTCACACACACATGGGGAAATCAATGATCTTTTCGGGCCTTCTTGGAGGCCCGCAATCTTCGGCCGTCTTGGTGGGTTCCTGGCCCGTCTGACGCCGTCGGAAGCTGTTTGGGAAGCCTCTCTGGGCCGACTTGGAACGCTCTTGGAATGCTCCAGGGCCGTCTTGGAGGCCATCTTGGGCGTCTTAAAGGCCTCCTGGGCCGTCTTGGGGGCCTCTTGGGGCCGTCTTGGGGGCCTCTTGGGCCGTTCTGGGGCCATCTTGGAGGCCTCTTGGGCGATCTTGGGGCGATCTTTGGGGGCCTCTTGGGCCGTCTCGGGCTGTCGGAAGGCCGAAAAGAAGCAAATGTCAAGATTCTTCGATTACCTCAAGAATGACAATGTTTTTGGCCTTCACTTGCCTTCCTGGATGCCCTCTTGGAGGCCTCTTGGGCCGTCTTGGGCTAGCCTAGAGCCAACTTCGGTCAACTTGGTGGGTTCCTGGCCCGTCTGACGCCGTCGGAAGCCGTTTGGGAAGCCTCTCTGGGCCGATTTGGGGCCTTCTTGGGGTGCTCCAGGGCCGTCTTAGAGGCCATCTTGAGCGTGTTGGAGGCCTCTCTGGGCTCATCTTGGGGCTCTCTTGGGGCCGTCTTGGGGGTCTCTTGGGCAGTCCTGAGGCCATCTTGGAGGCCTCTTGGGCGCTGTGGGGGCGATCTTGGGGGCCTCTTGGGCCGTCTTGAGCCATCGGAAGGCCGAGAAGAAGCAAATGTCAAAATCCTTCAAAACCCTAGGGAACAATGATTTTGGCCTCTTCGGGCCCTCCTTGAGGACCTCTTGGGTCGTCTTGGGCCGTCTTGGATGCCTCTTGGGCGAACGTGGAGGTATCTTAGACTCTCTTGGGCCGTCTTGGAGGTCGTCTTGGGCGGACTTGAGGCCATCTTGGACCATCTTGGAGCCCATTTTGGACCAACGTGGCCATCTTGGAGGTCATCCTGGGCCATCTTGAGCAAAACATTGGGGAATTGAGCTCCTTGAGAGCCTTTCCGGGTGGCCGGCGGGACGGGCCGAAGCCCCAGGGGGAGAACCAAAACCAAAACCGAAGGGTCCAGCACGCCAGGCACCCCTGCGATGAATCGAGAGGGGGCGGCGGATCGAAGACGCTTGCGGCGAATCACCGCCGCCCCCTGCCCCTTTGGAAGCACCTCTGTGGCCGACAGCTGGGCCAGAGCTTGGCCAAGCTATCGGGCCAGTTGTTCCCCGAGTCGGTTTGGAAAGACTTCGGGGAACACATGGGGGAGCAAGAAGAGGAGCAGGAGGAGGATGAGGAACAAATTTTGACCATCGTCGGGGTCGCTCCTAGCCTACCGAAACAGTGAAGGTGGAGGAGCGGGGAAGGAACGTAAGAAAGACCCCAAACAAAGAGCGGAAAGGAGAGGAGGACCAGGGTGAGAATGAAGAAAACGTTGAGATTGAGAAGGGGGACGCCCAGAGACAGAGGACGACGAGGAGGAGGAGGGAGAGGAGAAAGGGAAAGGGACAGGGGACGGGGAGAAGGAGGGGGAAGGACGAGGACAGACGAGGAACGCGGAAGAAGGAGGGACAGGATTAAACCTTGTGCGTTTTGGATAGAATGATATCGCGCAGACGGGAAACTATTAATTGGATTTTGCGGTTTGTACGGCTGGTAAGTGTCGTACGCTGAACGTTTTCATATATTTTGGCAAACATTGATACGACGCGAATTTGTTTACAGACGAATGTCAATTATATCATGCAGTTCGGCGTGCCGAGTTCCATTTTCGTGATCACGCTGTTTTTTCGGGTTTGTTCCGAAATTCGTGGGTCCCGTCGGACCGTGGGGTCATTGTAGCAGGGTCTGCGGTCTGCCCGTGCTTAGTACCAGGGGAGGGATACCTCGAGGAGTCATGAAGGAAGGATGAGGGGCCGGCTGACGTGCGTAATTGTTGAATATCATACCAGGTTGTACACATCAAATTGTTATGTTTCCCCACCCCGACCCCCCCCGCGCCGCGTAACATCCACCGACTCAGGATGGAGGGCCATTTGGGATTTGAAAGTGCACAAACAACTAGAGATATCAGCCTCCTGGGCATCATGGGCGTCCAAGCAAGCTTCAATAACGCTCAATACGAATTCAAATGCTGACGCTTCGCGAATCCCCACCGGTCCATCCAGAAACGATGCCCAGAGGAATTGCCTGGATCAGGGAAGTGGGCAGCACACAGAGGAAGCCATTATGAGACATCTTGGGGTATCTTGAGCCATCTTGGAGGTCATCTTGGGCTCTCCCAGGCGCTCTTGGAGTCATCTTAATCAGTGCTCCCCCCCAAGAGGCCAACATGTGGCTAAAACCTTCGTGAAATCAATGATTTGGGATTCTCGCCGAGGCCTCTTGAAGCATCTTGGGTGCCTCTGGGGGATCTCTTGGGCTCTTGGGGGTCTCTTGGGGGCCTACTGGGGGCCTCTTGCGGGCCTCTTGGGGCCATCTTGGGGCCATCTTGGGACCTCTCGGAGCATCCTGGGCGCTTTTTGGGGCCATCTTGGAGGAGATCGATCAAACAAGAGGGGAGCATTAATGAGCGTCCCCCCCGGGGAGGCCAAAATGGGGCCCAAACCCGTGTAAAACCAATGATTTTGGCTTCCTCGCCAAGGCCGTTTTGGCATTCTCGCCGAGGCCTCTTGGAACATCTTGGGTGCCTCTGGGGGGTCTCTTGGGGCCTCTTGGGG